GGAAGAAGAAGCAGAAAACAAGTCAAGAAGTCACTGAAAAGAATGAAGAGGTACAACACTTGTGCATAAGCATTGTACTTAGTAGTTCTTCCTTACTAACTTAACTAACAATATTTCTTATTTAACAGATTGCTCATGTACATACAGGTGAAGTAAATAAATTTGATAAATAAATTTGATCACAAAGCCATAACTGAGGAAACTCTGCAAACACCGCCTGTAGATAAACAAGAACATTATGAACTGCATTATGTTCCTGAAGACTACCCTGATAAGGTTTAAAACACAGAGTTTAATTGTCCAAATTGAATGCTTCATTATATCCATCTTACAATGTTTGTGTATTGCTTGTAAGTATGTCCAGCCCAACTTATGGTCGATTTTCCGGCCAGAAATCAAATTCCAGATTATATGAGGGAAGCAATCGATATTTGTTGTAATAAATTCACGGACATGTAAGTTAAAAAATTTCACTAATTGATTATCTTTCACTCTTGTGCTTATTAAATATTTGGAATGCAGGGGTGACTTAATAATTGACATGGGACATATATCGTTAACCCGACGCTATCTTGATGAATTACTCACCAACGGGTGGTTAGGAAATGAACACGTCGACTGTTTTGCTATGTTGCTGGAGCATAAGCGGAGCAAGAATCCGGAACAATACCGATCTTACCTATATGTATCTCCATGCCACTGGGTAAATTTTTAAATTACTTTTACATCAAACATATAACCATATTTCTTTTTATTAAGTAGTTGTCTTATGCGATATATATCGTTCTCTGCAGCTGTACAAGTTCGGTAACGTAAAAGGCTTCGTTGAACACATTACGAAGGAGACCACAAAAAATGTGGAGTTAATTTTGATACCTATAATCAATAATCAACACTGGACACTACTTGTTGGATCAATCAAAGATCGCAAGTGGAGATTATATGATTCATTGCCAAACAGAATGCATTTGCATATAACTGATGCCATCGTAAGTGGGGATTTTTATTCTTTTTATGTTTGCTATGGTGTTCGTCATTCATTTCTATTTGCATATAACATAATTGTGCAGATTAAACATTTACTAAGCGATGTTGGGGAAGCTTTTGAATTTGATCTTAGTAAGTGGCAAGTTGTAATGCCTAGAGGCATTCCAGTGCAAAGCAACAGTAGCGTACACCGGGATTACAAGCGCTGTACATGGGGCGGACAGCGGAGGTTACATTGGGCGTACACCGGGATTACAAGCGCTGTACGTGGGGCGGACAGCGGAGGTTACATTGGGCGTACACCGGGATTACAAGCGCTGTACATGGGGCGGACAGCGGAGGTTACATTGGGCGTACACCGGGATTACAAGCGCTGTACATGGGGCGGACAGCGGAGGTTACATTGGGCGTACACCGGGATTACAAGCGCTGTACGTGGGGCGGACAGCGGAGGTTACATTGGGCGTACACCGGGATTACAAGCGCTGTACATGGGGCGGACAGCGGAGGTTACATTGGGCGTACACCGGGATTACAAGCGCTGTACATGGGGCGGACAGCGGAGGTTACATTGGGCGTACACCGGGATTACAAGCGCTGTACGTGGGGCGGACAGCGGAGGTTACATTGGGCGTACACCGGGATTACAAGCGCTGTACATGGGGCGGACAGCGGAGGTTACATTGGGCGTACACCGGGATTACAAGCGCTGTACATGGGGCGGACAGCGGAGGTTACATTGGGCGTACACCGGGATTACAAGCGCTGTACATGGGGCGGACAGCGGAGTTTACATTGGGATTACATGGGGCTTACACGCGCGGTACATGGGGCGTACAGCGGAGTTTACATGGGGATTACATGGGGCTTACACGCGCGGTACATGGGGTGGACAGCGGAGTTTACATCGGGATTACATGGGGCTTACAATGACGGGTCGGGTCGACGGGTCTCGCAGGGTAAAAAGTATATTTTTATAGCGGTGGGGCCGACTTAGCCGACGTGTCTTTCGGTGATTCGCTATCGCACGCAGCGCTGCGTGCGTCTTATGTACCCAAATTTTTTCCGAAGGGGAGGAAGGGAGAATTGGGTTCGGTCACCTACTAGGGCTCGCGAATGGAAGTGGGTATCGGGTCAGAAGGAGAAGAACCGGGGAGGGAGAGGCGTTAGCGTGAATTTGTATACGTAAGTATGACTTAAAATATGGATTTTTGTTATTTTTTATTATTTAGTTTTGATTTTTTATATTATTTTATTTAAATATATTAATTCTCATGTGATGTATTCGTGCTTGGAACCATAGGAACGTGGATATCTCCCTTAGGTAAATTAAACATTCCAGACGCGCCGACACAGTCTATTTTGTTATTTGTCATCCGAGGTCAGTTGGACAATTTAGTCAATAATCAGGTAAAAAATATGTCAAATTTGATTTTCTTCAAATTTGGGTTTGTGTTCGATCATTTCAAAAATTGATTCAAGTTTTGATTAATTATAAAACTTTTACAGGTATAGTTGATGTGAATTGTGATATTTATGTGTGTTGACTGTTTGAATTGTGATATTTGTGTGCTCAAATTTACGAAAGTCGAGATGGGATTCTTGAAGCTTTCAAACCTTATAGGAACTCTCTTTGAGCCTCCATGTGTTGGTCCTTAGCCCTTGCAACTAAAAGTTGAGTTCTTGGGATCACTCATATGAGACATCGCAAAATAGTTAGGAGGTGATTTGAGTTTCTAAAAGGGTGGTCTCTGCTCTAATCCTCTAAGAAAGTTAAACAGAAAATTCTAGTGGTAGATCATAGGCTCTAAGGAGAGAATGAAGAAGTCCTCACAAAAATGAGGTCAACATGGAGTGGTGAATTTCATCTCAAAATTTTATTCTAAAAAAATAAATTTGCATGTAATAAAAAGATAATTCACATAACTTAAAAAAAAATGTTATTTTTAGAACTCGTTCCATCACTAAGCAAGTTCTTAAAAGAATGAGAGTAGAAGTCACCCAAACATTTAGCAATGGTTTGAGAATTTGTAAAATAAAAGAAACCGCGAGCTAAATTTGTAAATAGCAATGTTTCAAGTGCTCTATATGTAATGGTCCCTATATTAATGCTAATAGCCAAGAAACTCCGAGCTTAAGAAAAATTAAGTACCTAATTATTTATTAAGCTGCCAAATAATAAATTAATAAATAATATTTATATGTCAAAACAATAGAAAATTAGTAAGTTTTTAGGTTTTTTTTTAGTGCTTCTTTTTATATTAACTGAAGAGCAAACCAGTTAACGTTCATAACTCGCCAGCATTGTAATTGCACTGATTAAAAAGGGTAGCTTTTAACCGAGATCAGGTTTGAATTTTGATTTCGGTCTTATCATAATTATTTAGTTTAGTCAATTTTAATTTTGGTTAGGAATTTGATTATTCTTTTATTATAAATATTATAAAAATAAATTTTAAAATATAAAGAGAATTATTTATGTTATTTTGGGATCTTCTAAATAAAATTATAATTTGACGCGCAATTGAGAGCTTTTGATAAAATTTCTAAAAATGTAAAGAGATCTGGTGTTTTTTTACTTTCACTGAATTCTATATAAAACCTGATCAAAACTCATAAATTTCCGTCCAAATTATCAAAATCAGCTTAAAAATGAGTTCGGGATATAAAAAATCGACCAACAGTATTTGTATTGAACAAAAATTGTTAAATCTTAGTCTGTTCATATATTCACAGCATTTGCACTAGTTTATTTCAAGAGAAAGAAAAAAAAGAAAAAAGAGAAATATTTGTCGAGAAAATAGCTGTAAGATCTTATTTATAGATAGAATGACATACAAAAGTTATAAGCCTTATGGTTGTCGTTGAATCATTCTAGGACATAGGTCTTATATTATCTGTGGGTTCATACAACCTGGGAGGGACCCTATTTTTGGAGAAAAGGTGTGGAGAAGTGGCTCAAGTTCAAAATTTCTCTCTTGGTTCTTTTGGAAGGAAGAGAAGATCTAGATAAACAGTTTTGTTTTAGAGAGCCTTTGATCGAGGCCTTGGATCATCCCCTTTCCTTTTTTGGCTCCCATACAATAGGGAAAAAATAAAAGAGTATTAACTTATGTCCATGATGCTCTGATGGAAAGGACAGTGACATGGATGCCATATGGCTCTTAAATAGACATACATATGTTTTTTTGTTTTCTTTAATGCTGGTCTTGTCTTCAACAGCAGATGATTCTAAAGAAGATAAGAGCTCAACAGGTCACTTCGGTAGGTTGGCATGATTAGGCTATTTCAGCAGGCGG